AACCGAGCTCTCTACTGTTAAACCACTGATCGATGTGTTCAGATTGTGACTCTGGGTCACCTTTGTTTCCCTTCTCACCCCTCTTGGTTTGGCCTCCTTATACAGCATGGACCCAAGCATCGCCACTGAAATTGAGGATATATGGTCTGCTGAGGTGCCACTGGATGCAGCTCTCCTGTTTTCAGTGTAATTTCCTACTCGCCCCCCACCCTCACAATAATTCCTTCATCAATTTGTCATAAAAAGCAATAATGGAATCTCCAATGGGATTTAGTAATGACAGAGAATGGTTCCAGGAGGGACATTACAACTGGAAGATGTCCACCTGGAATCACTCTTGATTGTAAAAGAAATCCATTAACTTCCCAAATGGTCCTTTGAGGGATTCCATCTGGGTCCCAGAGAATAAGCCTCCCAACTGGCAGCATCACTGTTTGGCATGGAACCTGGCGCTTTGCCCTGCTGTGTAGGTGGAGTGTAGTTGTAAAACCTCAGACTCCAAGGGCAGTCCTGGATTAGAATCCTAGTCGTACCCCTGACAACCTATGTGATTTCTGGTGAGTCATTTATTTATGCTTTGGTTTCCTCATCAGTAAAACAGGAATAGCAGAACATGCTTGTTCATGTTCACGGGATTGTTGTGAAATGAATGAGGTAATCAGGATAAAGCTTGTAGGACAGTGTTTGGCACATCCTATGTACTTAACATAGAAATTTTCAACCTTTCTCATCTCACAGCACACAGACTAACTACTAAGATTCTGCAGCACCAAAAAATAAATTTTTTGACGATCTGAAAAGATATATAGGTATAATTTTGATTCATTCACACTGGACCGCTATTGTACTGGCTGTTGTCACTCTTTTATTTGACAATCTAAGGGAAAGAGGTAAGTGTGTCTGACTCAATAGTCAGTTATTGCACGTTTTAAAAATCCTTGCAGCTCCCTGGTTGAAAATCAATGGCTTAATAGATGGCAGCCATTGGTATCAGTTCAATTTAACACACTTTGCCAAGAGCTTTTTAGTAACCAGACACCCTGCTCAACCCTAAGTGGGATACAGGAATAACTCTCCCAAGGCTTTTTTCAAAAAGGACAGGGGGCCATGGGAGAAAGAGCTCTTTTGTAACTAAATATAAAACTGTACGCTAGCATGCAGTTCTACAGAGGCAGGGGTAGTAAATAGGTTAAAAATATGGATTGGGGGGCCATTCTCTGTGTGGTAGACACCATAATGCCCTCCCCAACAAAGATGCCCACATGCTAATCCTCAGAATTGATGACTATGTTACTTTATAAGGTAAAAGGGATTCTGCAGATATGATTAAGGTTAGAGGCCTTGAGAGAGGATAATGACTCAACCTAATCACAGGAGTGCTCACAGCTGAGGAAACTTTCCCGGCTGGGGCCAGAAAGAGATGGCACAATGGAATAACAGAGAGATACAATAGGATTCAACTTGCCACAGCTGGCTTCCAAGGTGAAAGAAAGGAGCTGTGCGCTGAGGAATGTGGGCCACCTCTACAAACTGGGGAAAGCCCTGGATTACAGCCAGTAAGAAAGTGGAGATCTTGGATCTACAACTAAAAACGAACTGAATTCTGCCAACGACCTGAATGAACAGGAAATAAAATCTCTCCCAGTACTCCCAGAAAGGAATGCAGCCCTGCAGACATCTTGACTTAGCCCAATGAGACTTGTGTGGGACTTCTGACCTAGAGAACTGAAAGATAATGTGTTACTATAAAATTAGTAAAAGCTAATATACTCTGGCTTGCAAATTTACAAATTTTAAGCAGCAGTATGCACATTGCTTAAGAACATGGATTTGGGGGCCAATTTGCTTGGGTTCTATTCCCAAATGTGTTACTTATTAGATGCGTGATCATGGGCATGTGATTTAACTTTCTGTTTCTTAATTTGTTTATCTGTTACAGGAATGCTGATATAGCCATTCATACTACTTAGGGTGAAAGATGATGCTAAAATAAGACTATTACAGAGATGCAATAATAATGTAATTTGAAAACAAAGACACTTCTTTCTCAGATCACAGTTAAAGGTAAGTTCCCCACTTGGCACTGGCAAGCTGGGCCGTGGCTCCGCCTTCGTAAATGGTGGCTTCCAAGGTTGTTCTAGTCCCCCTAACAGAAGTCTAGGGAAAGAGGTGTCTCCTAAAGAAAGTGATGTAGAAGGCGCTATTCACATTGCATTGAAGAATTCAACCACTGGTAGTTATTTTTCCCCCAGGTTCTTGGGGGCCTTCCTGTCATTCTAACATGAGTGATCACTTAAGAAATGTATATCCAATCTTTTCATATCCTGTATCTAACCTTTAAAAATCAAGCATATTAGCTAAGCCTCTACCTATTTCACAAATAACAGGAGTATAAAAGGCCAGGTAACTTCAAAGCCCATACACTTACATTTAACCAAAGTACATCTCCCATTTAAGTTATAATTAAAAAGCTAAAGAACACACACCACAACTTAAGAACAGAAAGTGATCAGGGAAAAAGTTAAACAGGAGTATAACAAGGGAGACAAGTGTAACAAACATTAGACAAGACAGACGTCAGGGTACTGGAGCTCTAGGGTAGCTCTACCTCTATCTGGCTGATGAGTAAGTCCACTCTCCTCCCTGGGCCTCAGTTTCTTAATCTGTAGGGTGGAGCCATGGATTAAAATGACTCCCCTTCCAGTTCTGATGTTCTGTGATTCTATTTGTAAAATAGTGAAGTCCTAAATACATAACCAGGAAGAAATGGTGCAATTTTAAAACTTGCCCCAATTAAAAAAAAAATAACCAGAGTGGAGAAAACCCCAGTGACTGAAACAAGGAAATCAGTTGAGCCTTGCAGCTCAAAAGACAAGCTGTAACCTGCTGATCAGTCACACCTGTCCTCACATTCCTTCTGAGGACAGCCCCACCCTTGAGCACAAAGCAGTGAATGGCAGTTTTGAGGGGAAATCCTGGAGGTGGAGGCTAAGCCTATGGCAACAGCCATTTCTGGAGGGTCCTGTCCCGGGTAGCAGCCAGTTAACTTTCCAAACAGAAGTATGAGGGGCTCTTCCTTGGAAGAAGGGAATAAGAGAGGTGTCTGAACCTGTGTGGTGCGTGAGATAGCAACCTGGGCTGGGAAACCAGGCAAAGTTTCTAAACCATGGAGGATACGTGATCATGAATTAATTACTCAACCTCTTTGGACCTCAGTTTTCTCACACATGAAATGAATATAATCTATAGGAGAGAAGACGACTTAAGATACAGTGAACTCTAAGTACTCAGATTGTTCCAGGCTCTCTTATCAATGACTCAATCTTTGCAATAGTGAGAGATTTGCAGTGTCATTCAACAAAGGATGCAACTGAGGAGAGCTAAGTGACTGACTTGCCCAGCGGAACAGAATTTGAACTCAAGTGTGTAAACACTTGGGTTATTTCCAGTAAACCAATGTCTCAAAGACGAAAGTGCTCTGCAAACTATCAAATGCAATAAAGTGCAAGGATGTATAGTCCCACATTAATGCAGAAATTTAGAAATTATCCATAAGTGACATTCTGATGAAGGAATGGGCTTTTTTTTTTTTCTTTTCAGGGCTTTTTCCTTTGTTCAGCCCCCCACTCGATCCTTAATCTGTTTATTTGCAGTGAAGACATACTATTTTGAAGTGACTCTTGAAACAATGGCAGCCTGATATAGTGAAAGGATTACTGGACTAGGAATCAAAAGGCTTTCTAGTTCCAGCTGTGCCAGTGAAACATCCATCTCGATAAGTCACTCACCCTTTCCTCTGTAAAATAAGGGGTTAGGTTAGAGGTGGTTGCCGAGGTCCCGTTAGCTATGGCACTTAAATGACTCAGAAGCAGAAAGCAGAGTGGAGCCTCATTGTCACTGTTACAGCTCCCATTCTAACTTAGGGTACTTTGGCCATCCTTCCTACCATGGGGAAGCCGACCCACCTCCACCCTCACCCCATTAAGCCCCATTAGAGCCTGAGAGATACTTTGGAGCCTGCAAGCAGGAGTGGTTAGTTTTAGAGATATCTGGCAATAAAGTATCCACTCTACCACAGCACATAAGCCAGAGCCCCAAGCTGTGAAGGTGGGTTAGAGCCCCCACCACCTTGCCCCCCCCCCAACTCTTAATTGATGTTTCAGCCCTGAGGGGTTGGCAAAGACCATAGACACAGCAGGGTTGGGAATAGAAAAAAAGTAAGGCTGATTCCAGAGCAACAAACTGAAGGCCTGAATCCAGCTATTTGCTTTTGGATATACCAACCACTCCTTGTTATATGCCCATTGTTGCAGTAATTTCCAAGGAATTGCAGGAACTTGTTTGCCTGTAGGCTACCCCACAGGCATCTTCTAGCACACTGAACTTCACAAAAATGAATGTGAATGACTGAAAACAAGGAGGTAAGTGTAAAGGAGACAAGTTGCTAGTTTTTACAGCTAATAGGAAGTAAACATTTTTAAAAGCATATTACTAGTAAAAATCTTAGGAAAACAACCTTAGCGCACACACAGAGAGCCACAGCATAGGGTTCTCTACAGACCGGCTGTATCAGTGGAGGAAAGCCATTTAACCTCTCTCAGAGCCACAGAATTTGGGTTAAGTAAATTGCCAAGAGCTAAATGGGAATAGTACCACTTACTTCCAAGTAGGGCAAAGACTGAAGAGAGATACAACTCCTGAAACAAACAGGTTTCCTTCTCCACTTAGTTCTTGTTCAGACATAAACTAGGGCTGGTCCCTTTTCTCAGCAATAGCATCTCGTTCTAGCCTCCTCCCTCAAACCCAGCCTCCTGTAGTTTGAGGGAGGTTTCCAAATAATCTTATATGGAAAAACCAGTCATTGGACCAGTCTGTTAGTGTTAAAATGCTCACTCCTGAAAAAAAAAAAATGTTAGAATTTAAAATTAGAAATCCGAGTCTTAGGAAATTAGAGACCAAACTGATATAAATCTGGAGCAAGTTTTCACCAACTCCATCTTTTATGCCTTTCCCATATTTTATTAAATTCGTGTTTTTAAAAAAAATCACAGCAGCATTATCAAAGATAACGTTATGTACAAACATTTTACAAAAGAAACATTACTAATATCAGCTGTTACAAGGGCAAGATGAAGCTGGACGCTGAATTTCCAGGTGGAGTCCTCCCTCAATCTAAAATGTGCTGAGGCAACTGTAACAGATTTCTTTCCAGGTGACAAGTACATGTGGCCGGTAATGCAAACGATGGTGAATGCGGATACTGCACAGACCCAATTAGCAGCTCCCCATCAAGAAGGCCACGGGCCAAGTGGAGCTAATCAAATAACTTAAACCCAAGACAGTGAACGCGCCGTTTCCCATCAAAACGCATTTAAGCTTTCAACATTAATGGTGTCACTTGTAAAGATACTGGGTTGTCATGTTGACACTTGATTCTCATACATGACCCTATGCAAGTCTTTCCTTAACTCTTCCAGACAGGTTTCTCGTTGGACCGAAGGGGAAGGAATTTTACAAATGCCTCCTTCAGGACAAAAGTCCCAAAGAGAGGTGACTCTGAGACCACGACTGGTTAAACTTGGTGGGTGCGGTACGGAGAGACAAGGAATTTAGGAAGAGAAATGTCTGCTTTGGGCTCACAGAATCAAGAATCGTGACTCACTTTGGTCTGGGAAACCTGCGAGAATCGCGCACCCCACCCCGCCCCCTGCCCCGCCCGTACCTACAAGCTCGGTTCCCTTCTCAACTCCCCCATTTCCTTGATCTCCACCTTCCTGTACTTCCCGGATCTCCTCCAGTTGGTAATCACCAGGACGGCCACGCCGGCGGCGAGGGCCAGCACGACCACCACAATGACGGCGATGAGGCCGCTTGTGAGGCGCTTCATAGAGAACTGCGGCGGCTTCTCGTCCAGGTAGTAGATGAGCGGCCGCTCCATCAGCAGGGGCTGGCCGCTCACGCTCACGTCCAGGCCGCCGCGGCCGGGGAACAGCGACTCGCCCTTGACGTCCCTCTCGAAGTAGTAGGCGGCGTCCGCGATGTCCACGTCGCCGGGGGCCTTCTGCGACGCGTTCTGCCGCAGCTCGATCTGGATGATGGGCGGCTCGTAGTGCACCGCCGCCACAAACCTGGGGGGCAGCAGGTAACGCTCGCGGAAGAGCCGCCGCAGCTCGGCGTCCAGGTCGGAGGGGTTGAAGGCGCGGTCGGCCGGGTGGTGGCGCATGTCGATGAGGATGTGGTGGGTGCGCACCAGCTCGTCGCAACGCAGGCTCTGGTCGCCCTTGTCCGTGCGGCGCACGCCCACGGAGTTCACGCACCAGCACACCGACGTCTGGTTGCACTGGCGGGCCTTGAAGCGGCCCTCAAGGTCGCAGTCGGGGTCGTACAGGCCGTCGTTGTCCACGATCGCGTGCTCGCTGGGGCGTACCAGCATGCGGCCGCTTTTGCGGGCGCTCATGCGCGCCTTGAGCAGCAGGCATTTGGAGGTCAGCGAGGAACAGTTGACCTCGACGTTAGTCCCGAACGCGCGGCAGTGGCAGCGGCCGTCCCGGCCTTCCCGGCTACATATGGTCATCTTATTTGTGGGGCACGTACAGTTGTCCCGTGCGGCTGCCTGGCCGATCACCGCTGCCAGGAGTAGCAGCAACAGCAGCGGCAGCGGTGGCGACCGCAGCGCGAGGCCCGGGCCCCGAGCCATGGTGGGGCCGAGGTGCGCGGATGGGACGCGGGCGGACGTTGGCTCTGGACTCAGCTGGACTCACCGGCTCCGCGGGCAGGGGCAGTCTCAGGACGTCTGCTGCCGGTCGTTCCCTCCCGCTCTTATACTCCGCCGGACCTGCCCGGCTGGTTCCGCCGCCAACTCTCTGGTATTTGGGTGACACATCCTGCACGCCCCTCCTACCCCCAACCCCCGTCCCACAGAAGGCACAGCCCGCCCTGCGCCTCCCGCGATAGGAGGGAAGAGCAGAGGCTGCCCCCGCCTCCTCTGGACCGAAAGCCCCAGAGAGGAAAACCGATACTCACCCGCGTGCAGGCCATGACCCGCCCCCGGCCTGTCCGGCCCCACCTGGAAAGGGGCCCGCCCTTGACGCGGCTTCTAGCAGAGCACCTTGGGCGTCCTGACCGCTCTCCTAGGCTGGAATTTGCAGGAATTTCATTGAAAAGTATCGCGGGACTGTACTGCTTGTATCCCGCCCTCCTTTTCTCTCTTCGTTTCCCAACTTCTATTCCTGTTTTAAATTCTTTCACCCCCTCGCTTCGTTTCCCAGTTCTCTCATCGCACACATTTATATAGTTTACAGTTCACAAACATTATCTCATCCTCGCCTCAGTCCTGACAGGTATGGACCATCTATCAGACGTATTTAATAGGTCATGAAATTTCGGCTTGGAGACTTAAAGTGGCCCAGCCATCAATTTCCTCAGATTCCTGGAAGGGGTCTTCGGTTCTCGGCCTGTCTGTTAGGAGGCCTTAAATGTTCATGGAAACAGAGGGTGCAGATTTGAAGAAAGCTTGGGCAACAGTTCTGTTCCTCACCAGATCATGGGTAAAACCCAGGAGTTCTGGTGCTCAATGTATAAGAAGTTCTGTTAACCACTTCCCCCTCCTACCTACACAAACCATATTTATGCATGTACTCAGTACAGGGAGACAAAAAGGAACAAATTCTTAAAAAGAACCAGCAAAACTATAAGGAGTTCTTTGTATAATTTGATTCTAAAAGAGCAAAACATTGCTTTTCTTTTCCTGTGTTCCAAGTAGCTGCACAACTGCCAATAATGAAAGAATGGAGCTTGTGGGAAATTGCTTGTCTGCCACTGTGTGGCTAACTTTAATGGGACGGAGTGGTTGCAACCTCTTTTTCTGAATCGAGAAAGTTCAGGATTTCAAAGCTTTGGTACGATTAACAATAATTAACAAGCTATAATTATTTCCAGCTCCTCTGTCAAAGTGCAGTGTATAGGTTCAGAATTTAAAGAACACCAGTAGTAGCATTATACAAGGGTGTTGTTTAACACATGAAAGCCGGCCAGGCCTCTACTCCATTAATTTTCAAGCAATTCCCGAGGTGAGTAGGCAGAAATATATTCTTCTCCCTTTGCAGGTAGAGAAACCAGAGATGGGGTGGGGGTGGGGACAGTTTCTACCAACAAGCATCAGGTGTTGTGGGCTCTCTACGACCACTAGCCTGGTCAGGTGTTCCAGTTTCTTTTCCCCACTCCAACCTCCAGAGAAGGCTTTCTAAATCTCAAATCTGTCCCCGTCTCCTCTCTCCTTTAGGCACAGAGTTTTTAAAAAGGTGCTCTTGGCTCCTAGGATAAACTTCATGCTATTCAAGTTAGCACACAAAATCGTATATGGCCTTGGATAAGCTACTTAATGTCTCTGTGCCTTAGTTGCCTCATCTGTAAACTCGGGATAGTAAAAGAGCCTACCTAACAAGGTAGATATGAGAATTAATGTAGCACCCGCTCAGAACAGTGCCCATTCTAACAGTATCTGCATTCAGGAAGCATAGGCAAGTGTTAGCTGCTGTCACAGTCCTCAACAGAATCATCATCATCATTTTCATCTTTCTCCTGCCAGCCTCTCTAGCCTTCCTCGTGTTTTTAAGCCTTTGTAAAGTCATCTACCTGGAATTTCCCCTTTATCTAGCACATAATTGTGTTATTCTACTCTGCCCTTGCTAACTTCCAGAAAGCCTTCCCTGTGCACCTAGGGAAGTGCCCCTTCGTTGTACTTTCCTAATTTCTATAACATATGAGAATGGCAACATTAACTTATCTGGACTTCTGCTTTCTCATCTAATATTGACATATTAGCATCTCTCTACATGTATCATTCTAAGAATCAAATCTAAATAGATGAGATGATAGATGTCAAAGCTTTGTAATCTGTAAAAATGTTAGATTGTGTTTTTATTTTTAAAATATCTATCCTATTTTCCCATTTTTCCAGCTACTGACTAGGTAGCCACAATCTGCTGTAACTGGTAAAGCTACCTACTTGATATTTCAATGAGTCCCAGGCTGATAAGAGGAAAGCTGATAGGAAAGGGTTCTCAGGACTGAAGAATGTATACAATGTTGTCTCTGACTCCTTAGCTAGGAAAGCCCCAAATGGCTGGGCCTTATGTGGGCTAGTGCTCTTGAGTTCTCCAGATCTCTTTGCCTCTTTCCATTCGTGGTAAGTGTTGGAGGAAATGGATAAAGGGCTTCTGTCCTCAGCAGACTCTGTGGAGGATGGCATGAACCAAAGTTAACTACCCACCCACCACTCTCCGAAATTCGGTGGTTCTGCCAGACTGTCCCCAACAGGCATGCACACCAGGATGAGTTTATTAAGGATGCATAGCCGCAGCTGATTCTCCATCTCCCTTTGTCTGGTTCTTGACTAGGTGCGCTAAATCTCACTGTTAGCTTTATATCTTTATTTTTTTTTTATTTTAATTTCTAAATATTGGATGAAAGCATTCCATGAACTCGGACTTGTTAAGTGTGTATCAAGGGCAAGGACCACATCTTGAGCACTGTAGTCCCAGCACCAGCATATATTAGGCACTCAGTAATGTTCATAGGGTTAATTAACACTGAGTTGCGCCCAGAACGTAGCAGTATCAATGTACTTTCCCTAGCAGTGTTCTTGTTGACCATTTCAATACTTATGGCCTCATCCGATTCTCATCTCTTACCCCACCCACAAACATCTATCCCCACCCTAACCTACCCTCCAAACACTTAATTTCAAGGGACACTGGTTAATAACACCGCCCAGTGTTATTTTTGCTTTTATGCATGTTCCAGAACTTTCATCAGCCTAGTGGCTGTAGGGAGGAAGGATGTGATCTGATGAGACTAAGAACAGGCATGGATTCTGGAGGCAAGCAGTGTAATGTGGTTGAGAGAAAATGGACTTTGGACCCAGTCATACTTAGCCTCAAGTTCTGGTTTCACATCATTCATTCATTGACTGTGTGGGTTTGAGCAAGTTATATCAACTTTCTGAGCCTCACTTTGCCTAATTATAAAATGGGAGCAATAAAGCCTACATTTCCCCAATGTCTGTAAAAAGGATGATGTTCCATCTTGTTATTAGAACATGCTTTTTCCCCACTGAGCTTTATACTTTATCTATTCTTGTGTTGTTTTCTGAACTAGTGTTGATTATCTGATTTTCTTTGGTACAAGACCACACCAACACGTTTTATATTTAAGGGTGTAATTTACTATAACAACAACAGCAACAGAAATAAAACTCTTTGATAAATTAAAAAAAAAGCTTACCATCCATAATTATTTTAATGGTTCAAGATAAAGAATAGAAAATACTTAACACAGTGTTTGGCATGTGCTAAGTAGAATTAATATTAACTATTATTATCAGACATCTCAGGAATGTGAGGATCATTAAAGGTTTCTGTGTGAAGCTGGTGACTGTGGGGATCGCTGAAGATCAGGTCCAAGGATCTGGGCATTAGGACGGGGAACTGCCCATTAGCCCTCACCATCCCGAGCCCCAAGATGCAGGAATATGGGAATACCTAGGTGCAGGTAGTGCTTTAACATTTCTACTCCACATATCTGCTGAAATCTCTACAACACCCCTGGGGAGTAGGCAGGGAAGATATTATTAATTCTATTTTACAGATGTGGAAACAGAGGCCTTAGGAGAACAGAAGGACTTGTCCATGGTCACATGCTTAGAAGTGGTGAGGCCAGGCCTAGGTCTCCTGACTGAAAGGTACATCTAAATGAACAAAAATGCAAGAGGATTGAAGGAGTGAGGAGGTTAGAGCCTCATCTCGCATTTCTCTGATTTTCTTTTATTTCTCTTACTTTTCCGTAATTGTACAAATATTTTTTAGGAGGTTTTGGTTTCATGAAGAGCAAACAATAGCTAATTGTGTAGGGCGCAAGAGTGAGCTCCCATCTGAAAACCATAGGACTTATGCGATGGTCCTCGCTGTCCGCTTTCCTGCAAGGATGAAACAGTGTGAGTTCTGTGCTGCCAAGCCATGGGTAGGTCCTTTGCTTGGTTTCCTTTTTCATAGAATAGGGGCAGTGGTTACCCCTGAGAGACACTGTGGGGATTCAGTGGTGGAATGTGTGTGGAGCTGCCTGGGCCATGTGGGAAGAGCCCTCACTCATTTGTCTGCCCTGCCCATGGTCCGCTTCAGCCTCTGTGAGGAGCAGCCACTGAGACAGTGGGCAGTGCCATTGAGATAGTGCTCACTCAGGGTTTCCCTTTTCCCTCACAGAGGGTCCGACCTTTTGGCATTTCTGGGCCACACATTAAATACACAAACACGGAGGAAGGAAGCAGATGGTCCTTCATCCAGAATGCAGAAAGTGCAGAAAGTGGGCTGTGGCGACTGTGAGCTCAGGATGGAAAGAGGAGGCCCCAAGAAATGGGCCATAGGAAGACCAGGGGTATGGAGAATGGAGTACATAAGGGGTACCCAACTCTATGTTCCGTGTTCTACTTCTTTAAAAACGTGACTCAAGTATTGTAAAATATTAGAATTCAAAAGAGCCAGGAGCTGGGTATATTCCTTGTATTTTCTTATTTGCTATTATTAAAATATTTATGATTTAAAAACATTTTGATTTCGTCAACCCTTCCAACTAAGTTTTAGAGGAAGTATTTGGAGTAAAGTTCCTGTTTTTGCTTCTGCTTGCCCTTTTTTTTTTAATTTCCATATTTCTGTTATTAATATGAACTGCTATTCGTTGATCACCAATATTGTGCTAGGCTCTTAATAAATAAATTCCATATAATCCTCCAAGCAACTCTACAAAA